TGTGATTCTCAATATAGCTCTACCATCCGGGGGCGGCAGCGCTGCGCAGCCCAACATGTATTGATTTTGAATGATTCCCAGCCCAACATTGTCCATGGCATTACACATGTTCGCAATGACATGCGTATGTGCAATGTCATCAACCACTGGCCCAACCAAAAAAGGGGGCACAGTCCTCGGGCAGAGAGGAGTCATCATCTACGTTGCCTTGTTCTTCGCCCTCCCTGCCCCAAAATCGAAGGAACTGGCATACTCTGGCATCCACATCACTTTGACGCTACCGAGTGCGGAAAAGAGAATTCACATGCCGCGTATACTAAGCGATATAGTAGGGGAACAGCACACTCACCAGTGCCAGATAGCCCGCCTCTCCCGACCCCGTCGTCCTCTGCCACCAACAACCAACACCGACTTGTAGCTGAAACCGAAACGCAGACTGGGAAGCGTGTCAGCGCTGTAGATGAGAAAAAGCGCAGCGCAATCTCGCACATGAACCACCCAACAAGTCTTCTACAGCCAGAGACCAGTGGCCAGGCACGCCCTCAGCCCTGAACCAAACCCCCCTAGACATCCACATGGCCACGAGATGGACAAGCATGCCTCACATCCACGGGCATGTCCCCTTCCCCCCCGGCCGGCGTCCTCGAAAAGAAACTCAACGCCATGAGCATCACCCAGCAGCGAGCCATCGTAAAATCTACCAAGTCTATCACAAGCTAGCTCCCCAGTGCAAACCGTGCCATCTCGATGCGATCTACCCGCCAGTCCTCCGTCGCCATGGCCAGAATACGATACAGCCGCAATCCAAGCTCAGATCGAGAAAAACCGTACAACAAATAAACAAAATACACCGCATGAACCATTCTCGCCAGAAATCTCACCCAGATTCGTACTCAGCCTCGCCTTTCAGTAGATAGCGCCGAGTTTGGCCCCCCCCCCCTTTCTCACCAAGCCCATATTTAGAATTCGCCTCGTATAGAAAAAAAAAACTTGACCGTCTCTTGTTTTCCAACAAAAGACGCCTAGCAAACAACAATTTCCTATAATTTTAGTAGCCCCCGTTGACAATATTCACACGCCCCCCGAGCGCAGAAGTACTCTGTACATGTTGCCTGCCCTCTCACCCCGGCATCACCGGTCTGCTCCCAACAGCAAAAACACCGCACTTCCGGCCCAACGTGCATACGCCTGCGTTATCGCGGTCCACCTGGAGACAGCACGCCAAAACAAGACCAAAAAGAAACAAAGTGAAAAAATGAATCACAAGATCCAACACCCCCCCTTTCCTTGCGGGGTTTGCGCCCCCCCTCACAAAAAAAGGTTCCCGGAAGGTCCCCGGCCAGACAACAAGCCACTGGTCCCATCTCCCCCATCTGGCGCTTGTGTGGTTTTTTTTTCTTTTCTCAAAATAACAAGAGGAAAAGGAGAAAAATCGTCACACAAAACACCTGCTCGCTCCTCTCGTCAGGAAAGAATGCTGTTGGCAACGACGATGGGGTTTCACAACAGAACAAATGTTTCAAACGTGACCTTGCTGCACCTCACTTCATACATTACTGATACGTCACTCGCGCCTCGTGCGCATCCAATGACATTCTTGGAATAGGAGCCGTTTATTTTAAAAAGAGAAGCCGCTAGGAAGGAAGCAGTTACTGTGAAAAGAAAAATCAAATTAGTAATTAGTTCTGGAGCGCTCGTTTTTGAGGCCAGTCCCGCTATGCGGTGCGTGCGTTTTTTTGTGTTTTTTTTTTTTTTTTTTTTTTTTTTTTTCCCACCTTGCTCTGACAAAAGACTGGTGTGTAATAGGCCGGTTTTGGGAGAGATTGACCGGGCTTGGGGGATCTGGGGTTTCCGGCTTTTGATTCACCGCTGTTTTGGGCACTTGATAACTCCAACGGCGTGTTTGTAAAAGGGGAGCAGTAATATATCAGAGAGCCCAGCTGTACATTAACCCCCCCCCCCTTGTCCGGGGGGCTTTTTGTTGCTTGGCCGGAAGCAAACTTGATGAGTTAGCGTTTGCCGTCTGTTGGTCTGAGCGGCGTGGAATGGGAATGTGTGTCTTTCCTGTCTTTCCGCAGTAATTTGACAGATCGAGTTGTCAGGGAATGTAGCCTAGATTGTCCAGGTAAGTGTGCTAACAAGGGGGGATGGCAAGATGGGAAACTTGGGGTTGATTGGGTTCGTGAATTCTTGTTGGTTCTAATCATCTTGGAGACGCTTCAATTTGTGTCTGATCCTGCCTAGGGTAACTGTATGCTTTGATACTACCGTGTTGACGTGTAAAATACTCCGTATGAGCTCTGCTACTTGGAGAGTATAAGACATAATAAAACCCAACTGAATCGTTATTCATTAAAAACGTGCTGCTACCAACGAGGCTCCCCCTGCTCAGCTGCTGGTGTAGAAATGACGTTCTTGTCGCCGAACGGATTGTCGTCGTCGTCGTCGTCCTCTTCCTCATCCTCGCTTGTTGCGCTTGACAACCGTCTTGCTGCAGGACGAGGAGGCCTGGCAGGCGCATGTTTGGGAGCAGTCTCGAGTGTGAGCCCAGACAGATCCGGCACGTTTTGTGCCGCTGCTCGGTCTTCCTGAGCTTTTCCTGTAATCACTGGAAAATCATATCAGTATACATGCAAAGAGATAGAGGCGTGCCTTGGGATAGGAGTATTGTACATACTTCGGTACATGTGAGTTTGCTCTGCCAATTCGTCATCAGAGTCACTATCTGCTTCAATCGAGTGATCTAGCTGCTCGTATGCCATGAGAGCATCGACAAGCTTGTCATTGGCGTGAAGTAGCGCACCTAGCCACTGCTCGCTTTCAACCTGATGGATCTAGAGTTTCCACGTGAGTTCTATACGCCAAAACCATCTGAATAACCCAGTAGTTTGAACCTACATATCGCAATATTCTCCTTCGCAGCTGCTTACAGGCCTCAAAATGCTGCGTCGCAGCCCGATTCTCCGAGATCCTCTCCTTCTCACGATTAATAGTCTGCAGGGAATTCGTCAATGCTGTCGACGCCATAGTTGCATCTGCAATAACTGATTTCATCTTCTTCATCTCAGCCTCGAGGTCAAACTTGCGGCCGCTTTTGCTTTTGCTTTTGGACTTGAACTTGGGCTTGGACTTTTTAAGTCCAATGCTGCTGCCGCCTCCGCCACCTTGCATGTCAAGAAGGGTACCGGAATGGTATCCTTCCGACGGTCCAGGATTGTCTTGTTTCTTTTGCTCGCTGGCTCGCTCCGCCTCTTCTTCCTCGTCATCGCCAAACGGGTTCTCCGTCTCCTGGATGACCTTGGACTCCTCCCGCGTCATGCCAACTTTGCGTTTGGGGAGTTCCTACAGACCGGGTTAACAGGGGCTGCATTCACGGGGGGAAAGCCTTCGCAGCCCATGCCGATCGTACCTTGTACAAGCGCGCAACCCTCTCCAACCCGGGAACGTTTGTATACTGCGCCCATTCGCGAAAGAGCTCTCGGCACTTATTCTTAACGGCGGGGTCGGACAAATTCGACGTGCCGCACACACGGAGACGCTCCAACAGCGGCTCATCCGCAAGCGCGCGCTGAAACTGCGAGCCCGCATTCTGGATAAGTCCATCGAGTAGCACCAGGGCTCGAATCTGCCTGTGGACTGTGCCGTACTTGAGCTTCTTGCGGATCGCGCGGGCTGCTTCGGCTGGACCAGAAGCTTGGAGCTTGATGACTTCGACGAGGTCCGGGATTCCGCTGAGGTCTTCTTCGGCGTAGGACTCGGAGGTGAGGTTCTCGATGGTGACGGTAACCGCCGAGTACGGCTTCTTCTGCAAGGTGTTAGCAAAGCTTTGCTTGTCGTGAGAGGCTGCAATAGCGCCCGGCAGCATCACAGATTGGGAGAAACGGCAAATGACTCCCCAGAATCGAAATGCCACGTCACCCAGCACCCGCTGAGTCCTTGAGCCGCACAGACAAAAAACATACCGATTGAAACATGGTGAAGTGATCCGGCGCACTCGCTACCAATGTCTCTTGGCTGGTAGGCGGCCGCCGCGGCTGATATTTCCCACGCCTGCGTTATGTAAAATCCTGATATATATATCTGTACCTAGGTATGTATATATATCTAGCCTGACAGCTCTTCCAAGCTTCCTCAGACTTCCCTCAGACACGTGCGCAGCTCCTTCCTTCTTCGCACAAGGGAGCTGTTTCAACACTCGCTCGTAAGCTTCTTGGCAGCGTCAAAAAGTCCTGGTCGGCTGATACGACAAAGGTGGGGGCAATGCGTGCATGCCTGTTATGCGTGGACACTTTTGCGAGGGGTTCGGTTCTGTAACAAAGAATTAAAAAAACGGCTTGTTACGTCACCGCGGAAGCTACTTTAGGAATGCCGGAAGTGAAGCAACATCTGGCAGGATATGTCGTCGTATGATGACGCACGTGGAAGGTGTTTCGGAATTGGAGCTCAAACTACTTTCTGCAGGCGGAATGAGGACAATGCGGGGTGATGGAGCACGGGAGCTTGGGAGCTTGAGAGCTGGTCGGCAATTCGGACAAGCACAATGACGGATCACGCTGGTGGGGGAAGAAGCCGGAAAGGAGGGGGGGTAACTTTTGGATAGGTCTTGGTGTCTCTTCTCGGCTAATTAACTCTTTGCCGTGGCGTGACTAGGTACCTAGGTACCTAAGTCGTGTGTTATTTATATGTGAGTCTGTCCTATCTTGATCTGGGCGGGTTCATGACTGGACGCATCACATCTTCCATGACATGGACTGACGACACACGAGCCCAAGGCTTGCATCAGAAACAAGGAATATGGCAGCTGCTTTTAGAATACAAAGCCTTCAAGGATGCAGAGATCTATATGACATTATATTCAAGTACAACGCTACGCCCAATACTAGCTGCAACCAGCACCAGGTATACCACATTCCCCATGCTAGTTGTGCCAGATCCGTACCATCTGTAATCACCAAACAGCCGCCTTCATAATGCTTGTTCTTAACTAATGCCAGGCATAATCAACCACTCTTTCCTAAACCCAATAGAACCAAATTGGCCACATTCATCACCGTAATGACTAACCACACCAGTATTCCCAAAATAATAATATACCACGGATTCGCCATGTTGACACCAGCAGCACTATTTGCAACAGGCCGACCTCTGTTATCAGCCTCATGGTAGTATCGTGCCATTCCCGGCAAAACAGTCATGTATCTTGATCGACTGGTAAAGTAAATAAGTGGCAATGTGACAAATGGCAGCACGGAGCTAAGGACCACTTGTGACGCTGTCAGGGCCGTGTTCAGCCCAGATCTCCCTACTGCTCCGGCAATGATAATCGATGGGGTGATACTGATGGAGCGAGTAATGAGCCGACGGAGCCACGGCTTGAGTTTCCACCTGATGGCACCCTCGCTGACCAACTGGCCTGCAATGGTGCACACGATGCCTGCTGATACGCCAGATAGAAGAAGGGCTAGGGCAAAGATTGTACCCACGGCAGGCGAGATGCTCTTTGCCAGCAGGTCATGGATGCCAAAAATGTCGGCTTCGAGCGCGTCAGGGTTTTGATACAAAGAGGCACCGGCTACGATGAGAATGGCCGAGTTGACAAAGAGAGCAAAGGTGAAGAGTGCAAGGGCCAGTTCGGTGATGGAGTACTTGAGCGAGTGTTTGATGGCGGCCTGAGATGGGATATATATTCCCTTGTCAAGGTATTCGTCGGTGGTAGCGGAAGACGCAGCAGAGACCGGCTGTTCTGGTATAAGGCCGTGTTTGGTGTCGAACTCTCGCAGACGGGGCTGGACAATACCAGAGCCTAGGTATAAACTGTGCGGCATGACGGTTGCTCCAAGAATACCACAAGCCTGATAAAGTCTACCTGCTATTAGTCCGGCAAACCTTGCAAATACAATGGACGGGCTTAGGTGACGGAAGACCTACGCTTGCGACTCAACGAGCGAATTGGACGGAACGTATCCTCTAAATACCTCCCCGACACTCCCCGAAATCATGCTCAACTCGATACAAAAGCAGATTACGACTCCCAATACTAACAGACAGACAAACATTTCAAACAACCTCAAACCCTTCATCGAGCCGTCCGGCCTATAAAAGATCAAAATGGCCATGACGTCCAGAATAGACAATGCGCATCCCGCAACAAGAGGCAGTTTAGGGATCAAAAGATTCAGTGCAATGGCGGTACCTATAACCTCGGCCATGTCCGTCGCGATAATGGCAACTTCAGCCAGGCCATACAGCAAGTAATTCAACCAGCGTGGCAAATACGCACGACATGCTGATGCAAGATCCAGGCCTGTGACTGTGCCGAGTTGGATGGCTAGCGACTGCAGGAGAATAGCGAAGAGGTTGCTCAAGAGGACGATGAAGAGAAGTTTGTACTGGTAGGATGCACCAGCTGCGATATCGGTGGCGTAGTTGCCGGGGTCGACTGTGTCATGTTAGGTTTTGTGATGATTGCGTCGTCCTGTTAAAGAGGTGGTTGAAGGACTCCCGGCCGTGGAGATTATTTGGGATAAACTCACTGTACGCCACAGAAATCATGAATCCCGGCCCAACAAACTTGCCAAATGTCCAAAACGCATGCTTGACCCGTTCCAAGGCCGTCTTGGCACGATTCGCACTCTCCGGCCTCGATCTGATAGTCATGTTATCGACGACGACAGGGTTCTTCTCCGCCGAAGAATCAGACTGTTCTTGTTGCGCATCACTGCGCTGAATGCCATGCGTTTCCATATCTGTCGCAGCTGCTCAATTGCCGTTCATAAGACCGACGAATATGAAGGTACCTTGTATAGTTTCCTCTTAAATGCCAATATCCGCTTGCCTCGATGCAAATTCACAGAGCGCAGAAAAAGATCCGTAGCGTCGCCATCCATTCAACCATCGATTAAAGTAATTTTGACCTCTTCCTTTTTGTCCCGCTCTTCGAAGGCTTCCTATCAATATTGGCAACTATCGCAACAAGGGCCGCCTCCTAGTCGCCCGTTCGTCTATGCCGGGACGTGATTGTCAATTGGTTGCTGTCTAGGGATAGGAATTGGAGGCCAAGACGGCGACAGGGATAATGGCAGGAAAGATTGGTCTCGGCGAACTATGCAGGCTCATATATGAGAACGGCACTCCGGGACAGGACGAGATGACTACATAGGAGACAAAAAAGAAAAAAAAGAAAAAAGGGTTGGCGTACGGAATCTGTTTTTAGGAGCATGACCCAGTTACTTGTTCTTCTTGGGCACTTGACGTAGATTTTTTCGAAGCAGAATCGCCGATGGAAATCGAGGCCAGCTCCGGGGTTACCCGACAGGCAAAAAGCTGCAGTGACCTGGGGCTGAAGAATCGAGGAAGTCGCGACGTTGGACCCACCAGCTAGTTGACGCTTCAATACGGAGTATTGTCGCTCACACTTGCTTGCGCCTGCCGCTCTTTTCCTTTTTGCCCCCCGCTAAACAAGAATCTTCCACGTCGTGTGAATGTCGTGTGACTAGACTCACCCGCAGGTTAACTGCCTGTCCAAGACAATTCAACTCTTGAGCCTTGGCGGGTGTTTATATAGACCCCGCCGATGGCGAAAAGAACGCTGTGCACCGCACCACACCACCAAACGGCCCGTCTTCGATAATCCCCTGCACATCAAGGTGATGCCGGAACTAGACATCCGCATCGACCCCTCCCTCCGGCACAGCATCCGGTCGGGCTCGATTCCCGATGGATGTTTCTTCTCCGCTCCCAACGACACTTATGTATCCGTCGCCCGCCCGCTGGTGGCCGTTGGCTTGGACGGGAACGCTCTTTGGCTCGGCCTGATGGATCAGATCCGTTTTTTCCTGGTGGCTCCAGCGCTGGAGCCCTGGGGGCGCACGGCCGCCGTCGTCTCCTTCGTGATGATAAGCATGGGGATGAGAAGAGAGGTTGGTGATACGACCCGGTCGCACCGGGGCGCTGTTGACGTCGCTGGGTGACGGGGGACAGAATGCAGAATGGGCGCAAAAGGGAGAGCCATTGGATGTCTGGTACGGAGTAGGCATGTACAGCGTACGTAGTACAAAGAGGAGGACGAGCATCAGCGCCAGCGTCACCACACGCCGTGTTACCCATTGACCCGAATGGTGGGTTGAGGATGGATCTTCAAGTCAATTGTTTGGCGTCGCTTCAACCTTGTATCCCCCTTTGGCTCGTCGTTGGTTCTTTTGCATTTCCGCCATAATATTTGCTTACCGAACGAATCCCGGTGAGGTATCCCGATTCCTGCCTTGGGACTATAGTCTGTTGTATGATTCGACAATGTTGGCATGGCGGTCAAGAAGCTCATTACTACATCCTGACAAAACCTAGTTTCTTGCCGAAATGACCCCAGGCGTTACCCGAGCCATCTTTTTCTGTTGCAACCTTCTAGTTGAGGAGCGAAAACTAAACACGTTGCTAGTTGCATTCGCGCGCATCCAAACGGCATATCGAAATCGCCGTCGTTGTACAATAATCCTTCAGGCAATAGCTCAATGCACATGCACGTACTCTGTGTAATCTGTATTGCAGCACATGGTGTGCAAACTCCGCTGGTCTGGTTCGCGCTTGTGAACATAGAGTCGGAGTGCATCACCTAGTAGAGTAGGCCACGCAAGGTCCGCTGGATTCATTACACTTTTCAATCTTACAAAATGACATCACTCTAACAGTTTAGGTCCATACCTATGTTAATTCCCATGTGTCGATTCTATCAACAAATCTTCTTCTCTTCTATCCCCCTGCACCATGTCGACTGGTTGATATCGACAATGTAAGCCACTCCATGGAACCAACGGTCTATTCGTCTCTTTTTTCCTGGCCACTCCCTTGCCTCTCCGACTCGTAGCCTGTCGAAAGACCGCCCCCGACATACCCCTTGTACAACCCAATTACATCGCAATCCCGGGTATAAATGTTCGCGCATCGCAAATATTCTCTCCCACCTTAGTTTGGTCATGGACCTGGAGGTTAGGAACTTTCCATTTCGGCTTTGATGCTAAAACAGGCGATCATCAAGTGTCTCTAGACGAGTGTAGCACAGGGTTTTGTGGATCTATCGAACCAAAGCCAAGAATTAGTCCCTCAGAGGGATCTTACTCCTGCTTCTTGCCAGATTTGGCAGCAGCCCTCTCACGGTCCCGCTTGGCATAAATTCCGGCTGTGAAGGGATCCTCGAATCGCAAGGCCACCACGTAAACGAGATACACCCACAACGTCAACAAGAGACCGGCTGGCTTGCCAAAGAACAGGGCAGTGCCCAGGAAGCTCATGGTAGAGCCCCAGTACATGGGAGCACCAGTGACGTTGAAGGGGAAGCCAGTCACCATTTCGTCTAGCAAGAACCCAAAGTAGTCGCCTAGGAAGGTGCCTCTTATCCCCAGACGGTACGTCGACGAAATGACGAGGATGTTACCGGCAGCAAACAACGTGTAGGCAGCAGCCCGTGAGTAGACAGTCTCTAGCAAGGGGTGCGACGGCTGCTCCGATAATGCAACCTTGTACAGCCAGTCGCGAAAGAGACCGAGGGAGAAGATGGCTACAGCAAGGCCATAATTGGCGGCCTTGGCGTTGCCACCGAATAGTTTCGTCAGGATCTTGTTGTGATACTCTACAGTATTCCTAGTGTCAGTTGGTATATCGTAGAAGGTAGCTGGCGATGACCCTAGGAGGAGCCCCGGTAGCTGGAAAAGCAACAGGAAGGCAAACCTTGTCGAGCCACGATGCTGAGGTACGAAACATGACTTCGTTAGTAAACCTTTGTTTTTCTTATTCAACTGTCGCGGATAATTGGGGCAGCGCAAAGATGTTCCCGCGAAAAGGCACGTAAACAGGCGTGACTCACTTCCACCACAGCGGATTAAAAGCAATAGAGGCCGCGGACACTATTTTCACCCAAGCATGACGACAAATCAGCCACGGTGATCCTGTCATCTGTGCGCAACACTGTCACACATATTCTCTCCCGGCGGAGAGCAAGGCTCCATACAACTCACCAAGCAGGCTCCTCTTGTCGAAATCGACATAGTCGATGAGATTGCCCAGAGACGTCATGGTGGACAAGACACTAGACAATTGATTGAGCGCGATGGTGATGCTCGACAGAAGTCGTGTTGATTTGGTTGTGGAGGAGAGCGAGAAATGGAAAACGAGGATGAAGGAAGAGATGGAATGACGAAACTGCGAGGACCAAGACTAGAGGCAAGGCAGCATTAGATGAGCCGTGGCAGTTTGACGTGCCCAGATAGTTGCCCTTGTTTGGCTGGGCGTGGCCAGTGGCATGGGCATGTTTATCCGGCCGCAGCGCCGCGAGTAGGCGGGCAGCTCTCAGCAGCGCGGCGCGACACTGAGCTTCCAGGTCGAGTTTCACTGGAACGGGTGCAAAGCGGGGCCACCCGGGTGCATGTCACCAGACTGGACCTCCAATTCGTTGGGGAGCTCCGCTATCACAAGCCGCAGCAGCTTCTTGCCTTTTGCCTGGGTGAGTAACAGAAAAGCGGCCGAGCACTCTAGATATTCCCCGTGCTTATTTGAATTTTACTCTGCCGAGTATACTCCAAACACAATTTCTATGCCATCATTTGAAATAGCTTCAGATTCGTGCCTCCTTGGCCGCTTGCCTCGGGTTGTGTGGAGGCTCCATGTCCGTCCCGTTGTGGAGTTGCAATGCCCACCCGTCACAGGGCATCCACATCAGTACGTATTCCTCCGTCTCTTGCGCCTAAAAGGGAGGAGGTTTTTGCAACGGACCAGCAACATTTGAACTCTAGGCTTTCTCTTGGCGAGGCAGCAAAATACCAGTCTAGCAGCTAGAGTGCGAGCCATCAATTGGAATCACGCAGCCATTGGTTTACTCGTCCTCCCCGAGGGCAAGAAATGTACATATCCTGAATTGGTTCTTACGTGGATATCATTAATCTATAATTGCCACGGCCATTATTTCACAGCCGAAACTCTAGTGTCAATGCTAAGCCCGACGGTTTCTTGTCTTCTTGCCCGTCGTCGTCGTATCTTCCTCTTCCTCATCATGGCCCTTCTTTAGATCTTCTGTCAGGCCCCATTCCTCTTTATCGTACCAATCTTCGCCGTCAGACATGTCCCGGTTCGGCCCACAATGTGCCTCTGCTTTGGACCAGTGAAGTACATTGCTGCGCAACCTTTCTGCCCGCAACAAGCCTAGGTGTAGCCTCGTTGCCCCTCTGGCCACTTCTTCTTGTTTCTGCACGTACAGTGCCAGTAACCGTCTGATATCTTCTGCCTCATTTTCTGGAATACCCATGTTCCTATCAGGTTTGGCACCTGGTGGCGGAAGGAATATTGGGTGGATGAAGGATGGTGATTTTGATTCTGACAAGAACGGACCTCCGGACTGCTCCTTCGGTGCACCACTCATCACACCCCCGTCCTTTCCGTTTTGTTTGCTTTGGGCATCGCCGTTGCCATTTGTGTTGGCAATCCCATTGTTAGCTTCTGTTTCATTTGGGCTCCGGTCAACTTTCACCCCGGCCGGCTCACTCTTAATTGCAGCTTCGTTATTCTTGCCTTTTTTCTCTTCGTTGTTGGCGGCGGTCGCATCCATCATGGATACATCGGCGTCTGCAGTGGTGCCGACTAGTTGCCCCTGCCGCCCGTATACCAAACTTTTGGAATTATAGGAATTTGAATCTCCATTCACCCTTGCAACCGAAGATCTTGCCGAGCCGCCGCTATTCGGCAAGCTCTGTAGGAAACGGGCCACATGCTCGTCTGAATATAAATCGATATCGTTCGAGCCAATCATCGTTTCGCAGGGCATCCAGACGCCGTCGCCACACAGCGAAGTCCATAGGTGCCTTACCTCCCATAATGATTGGTTCTCTTTCCGCATGAGTGTGCAGCTTTGGTTGATGAGCTCATTGAGAGTCTTTGAAGTAAAGGCTTTGGATAGTGTCGGGTGGTGTGGCAATTCGGTCGACGCCGTGAGGGGAGCTAGAATATCTGCAAAAATGTCAGGAATGTTGCTCACGATACTTGGCTCTCAAAAACGCCAGTGGCCGACTCACGTTCTAGGCGAATGTTGGAGTATGGGTTGAGCTCGGCGGCGGCCAATTCAGCGACTCCGACTCGGTCGTCGTCATCGTCGCTCGTAATCTCATAGCCTTCATCGTCCACCAGGGGCGGGTTGCGATACAGGATATTCCGTCGAACGCCGGCGTAGTCGACAGCCTGGGGAACCACCCGTTAGGAGACTGCACATCGGCAAGTCGTATTTCGGAGGAGCGACATAATGATGCGTACCTCTTTATATGCACTGGGGCCGGCGGCCGGCGCCAAATGCCCTTTGTGTACAAATCGTGCCCTCTTCTGGAGTTTGTGGCCTCGATTGGTAAAGCTGTCGATTTCGGAGTCGGAATCTGACTCTGCCAGCAGACTTTTGGTTAGCTATGTGCCCGCGCGCAGAAAGACAGATGTTTTCATAGGTTTCTCACCATATGCCTTCCTCTTGAAGGCCTTTTTCATGCCGGCTATCGTCTCTGCGAACAGGATCTGCTGTGTTGCCATGGTGGGCGGCTTGTCTGATTTTCGAGAATTCGACCGCCCGAGAGTGAAGACGCCAAGGAGACTGGCGCCAGATTCGCGATGGGAAGCACAGCGCAATGGCCGTGAGCTGATGTGCAGGTAGTACCCGGCAGCCTTAGACTGTAAGGTAACTCTGCATTCGCTATGTCGATGGGTATCAATGTTATAAAATCGCAAGCTAACGTCTGCGGAGGGAGCTGTTCATAAAGAGGGAGCAACTTGACTGCGTGACCTCGAAAGCGAGGGGGGGCTAGCGACCTCTCGCACAGCGGCAAAAGCAACTTTCGCTAGGCGCTGAGCAGCGACCCAGTCAAGCGGCTGGCGTCTAGGTACGTACCTCCTTCCTACAGAGCACTTGTGCACTCGACCCATTCTGAGAACTGTGACCAATTAGAAGCAGGGGCTGTTGGGGCATTCTTTCCCGCCGACGCCGGAAGGTGGATCTGCCGATATTTAAGCGGCGCCGTTCCTGGACTGGGTACGTCACCATCTCCTAGCGCCTAATTTCTGACCAACCCTACGGCACTCGAGGAGAAGAAATGGCCACAGTCTCGGGCAAGTCATATATGTCAATCACCAAGTATACATAAAATACTGTCCTGTAATAGATGAGTGCAGCATGCAATAGCCCAGTACCTCATTCGACTTGCCTACCGCCTCCGAGAGGCACTCATGGAAACAAGCAACAAGACACTTCACTACATACGCACTACCTACTAGGTACGTAGGTAGTAGTCCTAAGGATGAATTACGAGGAGAACAAATATTTAGTTCAGATGGTTACGTAATGCCTTTTGGTAAAACTCCTTTTTTTTTTGGGCATGTTAAAAATAAGCCTCAATGTCACAACAATAGGAACCAGCATTGAAAGCCAATATACACAAAAAAAAAAGAAGAAGATAAAACGCAAAGAAACGCTTGTCTAATTTCGCCATATAACCCCTATTTGTCCAAGAAAACGGTACACAACTTCAAGCACATCAATGCCGTCGTATCAAAACATCCAAGACCTCCTACAAAGGCTTCATACGCTTCAAATCTCAGACGTAGCATTTGGCAATCATATCCTCCCTCCACCGGATATCATGTACGTCAAACGCACCCCGGCATAAAAGGGAGTGCGGGGGCCTTTCCCGCATAGATCACGTCTGGCACCTATACGCCCATTAGTACACTGGCCAAGTGGTCCTGTTCAATGCCGTCGCTTACACTTCCGGAGAGTTTGTTATCTCCTCAAATGCCTGCAGGATATCGAATCCCATCGCCACGAGTGGCTCAAACGCATCGTCCACAACCTGTATCTGTTAGAGAGTTATCACAAATTTAACCAATAGCGAAAACTTCGTACCCAAGTCAAAACGGCCTTGGAGGCTCTGTGGCCCTTGCTTTGGCGAACACCCATGAGAGCCAAACCCTGCAGTACTAGTGTTGCCTGCGGCGTTGACGGCACGATTGGGGCAATTATGCCACCGACATCCTCACGATCAGAGAGCAGAGGTGGAATATATGTCACCAAAGGACTACCTTGTCGGCAAATTACCACTGTCCCAATCAGATTGCCAGATGGATCCTTGGCCCTGACAATACCACATGCTTTGTTCTCCGAGAGAGCATACGTATAGAGCTCAAGAACCTCTGGGTTGGCATTCGCACGAACGTGATGCAGTACACTTTCTGCGTTTTCCAGGCCGTGAATCAAATCAAAGCTGATGTTGGCCCTCTGAATGCTTTGCAACAATCCCTCGGGAGCTACCCAATTCGGCAGATCGTGAATGATCATATTTGTCAAACGCCTAGGGAACTGCGTGTCCCATCCGCTGTTGCTGAACCACTCCTTGACGGTGTTTGCTTCAGGATCCAGAGGAATCCCAAGGAAAACTCCGGGAAATGACGTTCCGATTTGGACTTTCTTGAGACTCCGCAGCTGGCTGAGGCTCTTCAAAGCTCGTCGATGAAGAGATCGCCCAATAGAAACGTTACGCTTGCTCGGATCGACCAGCAGAGCGCCAATAATACCGACGCCCGCAATAAAGTATGTAGCAACAAATCCATAAAGAGCGCCCGTACTGCTGTTCCTCACTACAAAGTGAGTCTCCTTGATGTTGGGGAGATGTAGTTCCATGGAAGCGGCTCTTGTGGATTTGAGGAAATGAAGGTCAGGCGCACTAGCTCTGTGAACGGCCTTCAACAAGTCCTCCAAGCCGCCATAGTCGCGAGCTCGGTCATATTCTTCGACGAGCCAGTGCTGTCGGGACTTGAGAACCTTTTTGCTCTTTCGAAGAGTCCCCGGCATACTGCCAATAGGGGTAATCTCGCCGACGAGAACGCGGACCAAAGCAGACATGGCATCTTCCGTAAAGTCAAAAGTGCAAATATACGTGCCAATCGATTTGTCCATAGCGAAGTCGTAAGGGGAGCTCACAGCGACTACAATCAACTGCTTCTTGTTTCCCCTGCTGCGGTGCATCGAACACATCATGTCCACGTGCTTTGTAAAACCTGCCTGGTACATATTACGGTTGGCATCGGCCGTGACGATAATGATGAAAGACGCCCTAGCGATGAGGTTTTCATGAACTAAAATTGGAGTTAGGTACTGCCGATGCACCTGAAAAGAACTACAAGAGGATGAAATTTTTTTTCCTTACCTGGCCTTACACCATTTGCTGTATAACTGGTGTGAAGCAGTTTCTCATTGCGATACCTTGCGAGGTTTTTTCCAAACTCACGGAACACCCCTTCACCGCTCATTATGGCACTTCGTACGCGGTCTCTATGTGCCCAGGAATCATGTTGTGTCGGGGCTTGCGACCAAGTCTTCTTAGACCCTAACAAGCTCTTGGTCATGGCCGAGGCAGGTAAGGGCTTGACAAGAGGCGTAAGCAATAGAAGCTCTTCTCCAGGATGCATGGAGCTGGACAGAGGAAGCATCTTCTCTTTATCCCGAATAACGGTGATGGATTCATCATAAGCTCGGCGAGATAGCGACACGTGCGATGGGTGCAGCTGAGAGAGAAGTGAGATGCCTGGAGGGTTGAGAGCCTTTGCCCAAGAAGTACAAGTCGACTTGAGGTGCTGAATTCGTCTGATGGATGTGAAGATGCGATCTTTTGTGATGATGCCATTTTCGTAACCAAGCTTTAGACCCTTGATCGCTTCAAGCTGGACATCATAAGCACGACATAGCAAGACAAGATCACAACCAGCTTCGACCGCCATGACCACACCGTTCTGGACGCCCAAATCATGACTGAGCGCCTCCATTTCCAGACATTCGGAGATAGCAACTCCTTTAAACCCCAGCTCGTTGCGAAGCAAATCGTCGACAACTTGGTCGGAGAGACACGCATGACCAACGTTCATAGATGGGTTTGATATACCACATCCACCAACAAACATGGCATTCAGCTTGCCAGTTGCAATCGCATTTCGAAACGGAACCAGAGCACTAAGGCTCAGCTCTTCCAATGTTTGGGTGATAACTGGAACAGCGGAATTGGAGCCTTGAAAGTCCAAATTGCCATACGAAGGAAAATGCTTTCCTGCGGCTGCAATACCGGCGTCGCGAATGCCATTCAATGCGGCAAGGCCATATTGGGAGGCTTCCTGGGGGTCGTCCCCGGTGGAACGAACACCGAGCGGCTGGTACCTCGCATTGTTCAGCACATCCAAGACGGGGCCAAGCATGAGATTGACACCGCAAGCTGAGATCTCGGAAGCCGTGGCTTTGTAGATTTCGTAGGCCAACTCGACGCGGCCAGTGGCGGCAATGCCCATGGCGCTAGGAAATTGGCAGACAAAGTCTTCGTCAAAGAGACTGTTGACACCTCCATTTTCCTGATCCACAGCGATGAGAAGTGGTTGAGGATGCCCGGCGTTCTTGGCTATAGTCTGTAATTCCTGGACGAGTTTGGCAGTCTCTTGGGCAGCTAGTCCTAGGAGTCAGTACTGTTGGTGATGAAAATATAGCTACACGTGGGTAGTAGATATAGGGTCACACCACATCGCTGAGGAGATGGAGTGTGTCTTTAAACCAGAGAGCACAGCAAGCTGGGTTTCCACAGCCAGCAACGGAATAAGGGAGACGTGAAGGGGGACCGAACGAACATTTCAAATTCTTAGCCGTGAGAATAATGGACCCAAGATGGTGATCTTCAATAAGGCTTTTGATCTGAGGAGTAACTTCAGTGCCATCCCAGCCCATAATCAGCATCTGCCCAATAGCCCTGTGAAGCGTTAGCCATGAGGAATTGAAGCAGGCATTGAGCAATACCCGCCAAAGGACAGCTTCTACACAGCACAGAGATGTCATTCAAAAGAACATACCAGTCGAGGTTTTGCCATAGTGGGTCCAAGTCGCTCCCATCAGAGCTTGAGCTGGAGTTTGGCTTCTTGGGGTTGAGGTTGGCAGCAGCCATGGTGAATGGGATGGGGACGGGGACGGGGACGGGGACGGCGTTTGCGGCTTTGTTCACGTTGATACACACATAGTAGCCATCCGGCTTGCGGAACGATGGGCAATTGGTGATGGACAATGACAATCGGCAGTCGGCAGTCGGAAGCTGCAGGACAGCTCTGCGAAGCTCGTCGACGTTGCAAACGGGTTGGCAAGGACAAGCGCGTGAGGACTAGCGGACAAGTGCTCGGCAGATCTGAGCTTGTTGGCGCAGTCTCAATCTATGCTTGGGTTGGCTGGCCGAGCTGTCTGGTTCAATGTTGGTCAGCCGTCTCCAGCTCCATGTCGAGCCAGGAGTATTCGATAGGTCGGGATGTTGTTGGGAGGTCTCGGGTCAAATGACCGGTTCAACGTCGGCCGCCCAACAGTCTGCACATGTGGTGAGAGAGTGATAAGGCCAGCCAGCAGCAGCGGCCCAGGCTACCCGGTACCATTCGTGTCGTCTGGGTGGCTTCAGTGGGGCTCTGCCTCTAAAGTGGTGTCCGTACGCAGCATAATATGCTCGGCAGGCATGAATTCTTTCATC